AAGATTTACTATATAGGAAAGCTTTTTGTACACAACATTACTGTAAAATACATGAAAAATTTCACACGGGGAGAAACTATGTATGTAAACAATGTGGAAAAGCTTTTAGTATACAACATTACTGTAAAATACATGAAAGAACTCACACTCACACTCAGCATTAATTCTATGCATGTAAGCAATGCAGGAAAGCTTTCAGTATTTGTGGTGTTTGCGGAAGACACTCACAATGGGGAGAAACCATGTGTATGTAAGCAATGTGGGAATGCTTTCAGTACACTTGTACTGTCAGATACATGACAGAAATCTCACTGGGGAGAAACTATTATGTAAATCCACTTTGAAAATGCTGTGAAAATTTCTTACATAGTAGGGTGATACAATTACTTCTTTATGAGTAATACAAAAAGCTTAAGGTCTATATTTCTCCATAAAATTTCCAAAAATAAAATCCCAGATAGAGATCCTAAAGTACATACATATTTATTTTTCAGTAAATCACTTAAATATCTGAATTATGTATATCTGTAGTGTTTAATATAAAAATATTGAATTGACAGATATTTTGTGTATCTTTGAGCTTAATACGTGTTTTAACTAAACATGGTGAATTAAAATGTATTTTTTACTTTCAAGTAGAATTAGTAGTTGTGTAGTTTTTGTTTGGTCTTTACAATTTGGAGGTATAAGCCACTAAATTGTTAATTAGGATTTTGCCACTACTTTTGTTTTAAATTTTTGGTGTGCATATCCTGTATTCTGTGTAACAAGATATTTTTGAATTTGCTGTATTTTATATTAAGACAAATATTTTCAGAACCTGTAAACACCTTTTGACAGTGGATTTGTTTTCACACAACTTATACATGAACATGTTGTTTCTCATCTTGTGACAAGATCTCTGCTTATATCCCAACATTGTATATATCATGTACCTAATTTTGCCTATTTTCTTTCATATTAAAGCTAATATTACTTACAAAAAATGATTTATTATAAGATTACTGTATTCAGCACTTTTGCTCTTCAAAAATAGCGTCAGAAGAATGAAAAAAGATAAATAAACTGGAGACTGGAAGAAAATATATGCAAATCACACACACAACAAAGAACTTGATATAAGGGATTCTCAAAACTCAATAATAAGAAACACAAAATCCAATTTTGGTTTTTTTTTTTTTGGTTTTGTTTTTTGGTACCAGGGATGGAACTCAGGATCTTGTACTTACAAGGCAGTGGCACCACTGAGCTAAATCCCTGGCCTAAAAAATCCAATTTCTAAAGGAGCCAAACTTGAACTGAAGACTTCCCCAAAGAAGATATTCAAATGACAAAATAAACCCATCAAAAGACATTCAACATTATTAGCCACTGGGGAAATGCAAATTAAAACCATGATGAGATAACCATCACATATACATATAATAACACAGCGAGTTTCTGGAGAAGATGCAAAGCAATTGGAGTATATTGTTGGTGGGAATACAACCTGGCACAGCCACTTTGGAGAACAATTTGGCAGTTTCATATGAAGTTAGACAAGTATCTACTTCTGACCTAGCAATTCCATTTGTACCTTACATTTACACAAAAATGTGTGCAAGTGTGTTTTCTAGAGGGTGTACTCATGACAGCAAAAGAAATGGAAGGAAAATACAAGTGTACTTCAGCAGGTGGATGGATAAACAAGCTGATGGATCATACAAGGGGTAAGAATATTGAGGGAATAAAAAACAGATAAATATATTGTTTTTCTAAATAAACTTATTATAGTAAAAGACACATTGTCAAAATGATGGGACAAGTATGTTTGAAGTGAGGGGGAGGTTTAATGGCAATGTGTCTTTAACTATAATGCATTTTAAAATGTAAACATTTTCCATATTTTGTGATCATAACTCATTGATCAAAAGACAGCAATTTCTGCCAAATAAAAACATTACCACATATCCTCATCTACTGGATTTGACACTGTGTGACTTCTAACTCTTCCTCAGAATTGAAATAACCACAAAAGGTAAAAAGTTTCAATCAATTCAGGACATCAAAGCAGACACAACAGTGCAACTAAAATGACACTCATGAAAGAGGACTTCCAGAACTGTTTCAGAAAGTGGCAAGAAGGTTGGGGTAAGTGTGGTCAGAGCAAGGGGGAGTATTTTGAAAGGGATTAATGACAATGTGTCTTTTACTGTGATATAATGTTTTTTAAAATGGTTAAGCACTCACTGTACTTTTTGATTACACTACAGTAGTTCGTATTGCAGAATACTACTTAGCAACAGAATGGATCAAGCTAATGCCGTGTGCAATGATATGGATGAGATTAAAAACGTTTTGCTGAGAAGTCACACATAGATGAATACATACTGTATAATTCCATTTGAAATTTATTTCAATAAAAGAACAATATATAATTTATTTGAAATTCTAGATGAAAGCAAAACATGTTTATGATAACAAAAAGCAAATCAGTGGGTCACTGCAGAGTGACTGCAAAAGGGCAGGAGGGAGCTCTTTGGAAAGATGAACTGATACATGTCTTGGTGGTGGTGGTGGTAACATGGTGTACACATTTGTTACAACTCAAAGTTGAAAATGTTCACATCTTATGGCATGGCTGGGTCACTTTTAGGCAGAGTTTAGGTATAGTTTATCAAACTGCTATTCACGTTGCTAGTAAATTGTCAAATCTATTCCTGGTGTCTTTTCAGAAGCATATTCATCTTGAAACTAATGAGGCACAAAGCTCAGTCCCCTTCATTTCCAAGGCCTGGTTACTAATTTTGCACTACAAATTTTGTATCCTGCCAGGTGTGGTGGCACACACCGTAATCGCAGCACTTGGGAAGCTGAGGCAGGAGGATCGCTGTGATTTTGAGGCCAGCCTGGGCTACATACATAGTGTGCTCAACCTAGTACATGTGACAAGACCCTGTCTAAAAAAGAATTTTGCATTCTTTTTAAAGGAATATTAACTTTAGAACTCACAAAACGTGGACCTGCCTCTAGGTGGCCAGATACTTTAAAACAAAATAGAATGGAAAATATGACTCTTTCATAAATGCTTGAGTTTATATAATGGCTCAGGTTGTGAAAATTTATTTCTTGTGTTTAAACAGACACATACACACATCAATGGGAAATTCGGGGCCGTGAAACCTATGCAATGTGCACCAGATGTATATTCATTCATGCATGGAGTGGAATTCTACAGAGCTACATGCTTCTGTCTAGATAACTCTCATCAGCAAATATTAAGTTGAAGAAGTTTGCCTAAAGCATATTTTTAAGGTAAAGTGAAAGCATTTTGAAAAGCATTACTACATTTGACAAGTCTCTGTACCATTTCTATCATCATACTATATGGATAGAGAGAAAGTGTTAAAACATGCATGAGGTTGATTAAAAAAAACAATTCAGAATGTAATAATGGTTATTTCTAGAAAGAAAAGAGAAAGACAAGGATACACAGGGATTTGATTTTACATGCAAGTTTTATTTCTTCTTTTACAAATGGATTTGAAGCAAACAAGGATAATCATGAAAGTTTAACAAGGCCAGTCAGTGTGTATGAGGATTTTTGCTGCGTTATTCTGTGTCTCTCCGATGGCGTTGTATTCTGCGTGCATTTATTATACACATCGGTACTATGTGTTATTTCGTATTTGTATGGTGTGGGCATTTACAAACATCACATAATCTTCATAATGGCCTTATGAAGTAAGTAGAACAGAAATTATTCTCTCTTCCATGGAAAGGGGATGTACGATGACAGAAAAATTTCTTAAGAGTTGTTTGGGGTAATCAGACGTCCCTCGGTTGGTCCAGATTGCATGGAAATCCACTAGAGACGTTCTCTTAAAACCCGGGAGGATGGGTCTGAGTCTGAACTGCCCATCGCACCCACTCATTCCCGACCTTGGGAAGGTGCTCAATGGGAGAGTGAATTGTATAAATAGTGGCCAAGTGTTCGTCCGAAAGCATTCATTCTGAAGAGCTGGGTGGGGTTTGGGGAGCTCCAAGAAGGACTTCGATGAGATGGATGGATACCTCTGAGCCAGTCCCTAAGAGGCAAGCAGGTTCTCTCCTCCCAGTCCACTGGCTCGCTCAGGGACCTTGCACAAATCCTTCAGCCGTTTACTACTTATGCTTACACTCCGGTAAAACAAATGTGTGATATTCACAGCTGCTCATTCGGGGCTCCTGCTGAATACTTTTTGAAAAATAAGACCTATTTAAAGTGCATCAAGATGCAACTCTGTCCAGTTCCATGCAACTACAGTATGAGCCCACCATGCCTCAAGGGCTTCTCACTTATTTAAACGGTGTTGGCTATTTTAAAGAAGATCGAGTTTATATTTTTAAAAGGTTGATAAGTTTGAAATTACTAACATACAGCCTTTTGTCGCTGTTGCCTACTTAGAATAAAAAGTGAACACTTCATGTCCTAGCTCCCCTTCCGTCAGTGCTGGCTCTTGGGGATTTTGGAAGCAACACTAACAATGCTTTATGAAAATCTTTTTAAATTCTGGGTATTCTCCAGAAGAGAAGAAAAACCAGGGCAGAACAGTTCCGAACCCGGGCAAACGGGAAGAAACAGACTTGGCCGTCCTGCGTCCCCGCGCACCAGGCTAGGGTCACCGTCTTTCTCCCGGCGTTGGAGAGCTGTGGTCTCGGTGCTGCTCGGCCCTGAGGCTTCTGGCAAAGAACCACTGCCCTCGGAGGCCACAGATCCCTTTAAGGCGCCCCGAGAGCAGAGAAAGTGGAGAGAAGGGGGCGGGAGCAGGCTCCGCGAGCTCTCGCCACGTGACCCGGCTGCCAACTTAGCCTGCGAGTTTGACAGGAGTTTGAATCGGACTCGGGGGCTTTCTGCTGCGGGCGGCAGAGCGGCGGCCACAGCCCAGCGAGCGCGAGCACACGCCACCCCACGACCCCACTGCA